AGCAGGACTTGTTGTCCAATCCAAATCCGATTTCCTCAAGGCCAAGAAGTCTTGGTTCATAACCCTCTCAAAAGGAGCTGTGAGCCCCTAACCCCACCTCCACATCCAGACTAAGGCCAAAGCCCTCTTCTGAGCCTGGTGACCTAGGGGCAGGCTGAGTCAGCCGCAGGTCCTTACCTGGGCCCATCCCAGTCCTGGGTGAGTCAGCTGACCAGGGAGCAGGAACCCAGCTGGGACAAGGGCCACTACCTTCCAGGGAGGGGACCAGACTCCATCAGCAGTGGCTAGAGAAGGACGAGCAGCAGCACCTGGCCTGCAGGTAAGAGCGGGGCAAGGGGCCCCTAGAGGTGGGCACAGGGATAAGGGAGACCTGCTCTCACCTGTCTTTCCTCCCTGTCCCAACCCTTCTGGGACTTCCAGGCCTTTTTCTCTCAAGGTGCGTTTCTCTGGCAGTGAAATGTGAACTGGGGTTTCCTCTTCTGAGCCCAGCCCTGGGCCAGGTTCAAGGGCTGGGTGATATTTATCCAGACATCACTAGGGCTCCAGGCTCCTCCTCACTACCTGGGTCAGTTCTCATGGAGATGGGACCACGCTTTGCTCCTTGAAATGGGCCCCTGGAAAGCCAAAGAGCAACTCCCACAGGGAACTGAGTGGGGGCCTCAGTTTCTGTCACTTCTCTGCCTGAAGCTGTTTCCATTAACAAGCTCCCTACCACGGCAAGGAGAACCTGCTGGGGGAACTGGGCCAGTGGCCTGATCTGAGCACTGGTTTCCTCCTGTGGGAACTCCCATGCAGTCAGGGGAACTGAATGAGGTAATGGATATAAGGGGCTGGAACATGCCCTCCACACAGCAAGCCTCAGAAAATGGTGCTTAAGATGGGGCTGCTGTGTGCTGGGCCCGCACTGCACTGGCTGCTGTACATACGGTGGCCCCAACTACTAACAACTGCACCACCATCACTTCTCGCCTGGGCTCCCTGTCCACCCGTGCTCCCTAATCTATCCTCCAGATGAAAGTCAGACCATGTCACCCCGCTGCTCAGAATTCTCCAAGGGCTCCCTTCTCATCAGAGTAAATGCCAAACCCTCAGCATGACCCACAGGCCCTATAGGATCTCGTCCCTCTCGCTGCCTCTCCAGTCTCCTGTCCTCCTACTTCCCCTATGAACAACTGACTTCAGTCTCACTGGTCAGATGTTCCCTAAACAGAGGGCAGTGGCTTGCCCTCAGCCTCAATGCTTCTCCCTCCCCACTTAGGCTTTTACTCAAAAGCCACCTGTCACCCACCCACCCACCCCCTGGCAGTGAGGCTCTTCCGCACCTCCAGGCTCTACCCTCCACTCTGCTTTATCTTTCTTCCCATCACTTCCCACCACCTAACATGGCATAAGCACTTATTTAATCCAGCTAGAAAGTGACCTTTTACTCAAAAGCCACCTATCACCCACCCACCCACCCCCTGGCAGTGAGGCTCTTCCGCACCTCCAGGCTCTACCCTCCACTCTGCTTTATCTTTCTTCCCATCACTTCCCACCACCTAACATGGCATAAGCACTTATTTAATCCAGCTAGAAAGTGACAGTCAGGAACAGATCTTTCTTTTGTTCCCTGCCTTAATACTGGTACTTAGAACAGTACTGGGACTTAGGTGCCCAGTAAATGTACTGAATGAACAATAGCTAACGATTATTGCATGCCCTTTATGTACTAGTGCTTTCTGTACATATCTCTTTTATTTAAGAATCTTTTAATTAATCTCTATAATAACTCTGTGATGCAAGTATTGTTACCCATATTACAAAGGAATGAATGACATGCCCAAGGGACTTGTCCATGCTTGCTCTCCCGTGTCAGAGGCAGCAGTCTGAACCCATCCTGCCTGCCTCCAAGGTCCTTGGCTTTGCTCTGCCTCTCCTGGGCCTGGGTTCAGGAGTGTCCGCGCTCCTTGAAGAAGGCCACAGCTTTTCTCCAGCAGGTAGTACAGCCTGAGAGAAGGAGGGGAGTATACGCTGGTGGCTTAGCAACAGCCTCTTCCTTTCCAACTCACCACGTCCCTGGGCTAATTTGGCCTTCCAGGAGCTGTTCCTCTGACACTCTAACCCACGCTTCCCTCCCGCACACTGTCTTCTGAAGGATGGATGAGTTGTCCACGGGAACAAGTGGGCGTCCCATAGTTTCAGCTCTTTGGAACAAAGTGTTCCAAAGGAGTGTTCTCATTCCGAAGTCCAAAGATGGGGGCTGGTGACCCCTTTTCAGCCCTGCTGGTCTCTGAGGACCTGATTGCTGCTTTGTTGTGGGAGTTGTTTTTGCTCAGAATATTACAGAGTACAGCAGCTCAGGGATGGAAATCCTGGAAAATGCAGTGGGAGAGAAAAATTTCTCTGGGTGAGATAGGTTAGATGCGTTCCTTTCTTTTCAGAGGAGCCAGTTAATTTCGGGAAGTCATCAGCACCAAACTGAGCAAACTCTTCCATTGTCAGACTGCAGGAGCCAGCCTTTCAATCTACCTCATCAGGGCACTGTTTTTACTCCCCTTCTAGGCCAGGGTTTTTCTTCAAAGGACTTTTTGGGGCTTTCTCTTCCCCTTGGGTCTGCTTTTCTACTTTAAGGAACAGTAACTGGATGCCTGCTGTGTAGCAGGCAGTGGGCACAGCACTGGGGCTTCAGAAATGAGCGACATTCCTGACCAAAGAGGGCGACAGGCAAACAAATACAGCTCAGTGGAAATCCAACCCAGGAAATGCAGAAGACCTTGCTCACAGTGGGTGCTTAATAAACAGTAGTGGAATGAATGATGAATAGGCGAATATGAGATTCTGTGGTCTAGAGAAGGGAGGCTTGCCTAACGCTGTGTTTGGTTTTGGGGATTTGGGGGGAAAAGAAGAGGAGTTCACCAGATGAACAAACAAGGTGGTGGCGGCTGGGGGGAGGTGTGAATGGCATTCAAGACAAAGGGAACAGCACCTGTAAAAGCACAGAGGCATGAACTAGCAGGGTGAGTTTTAGGATCAGCAAGCAGTTTGGAATTAATGAAATGTAGGGTGAGTGTGCAAGAGTGAGGAGGTCACCAGGAGTCAGTGGAGAAGGTACCAGGAGTCACATCATAGAGATTGGAATATCAAGTTGAAGTCCCATATTTTCTCCTGAGGGCAAGAGCTGGGTATGGCTGGAGAGCAGGAGCTAAGGATAACTCCCAGATTTCTGGCTCAGACCGTGAGGTGCATTTGGTGGTGTCACTGTAGAGGGGCAGCAAAGCTGGGAAAAATGAATTCAATTTGAATAAACTGCAGGAGGTAGTAAAGATCTGGAAGGCAGCTGGACTCTTGGGCCTGGGCCTCCCTGTCCCTGGAGTAACATACTGCACTCT